TTACTTATTTTAGTTAAAGTACAATTTGTTTTAAAAAGTAACTACAAAGGATACATTTTATTATAATCCTATTTTTGTTTTGGTACTCAATTTATTTTGCACATTCACTTGCCATCCCACAACTTCAACACTAAAGACATTACTCCCAAATGAAATACAATGACCCATGCTTAAATATGCTAATTTTTAATAGGTATAGGTTTTATGAATCTCATGTTTAATTGTTTTTTTTTTTGTATATTCAACCATTCATTTTTTTCCATGTTGTATTCATGTTTGTGTCCATGTAGTCATGGCTTGTTGGGAGCTAGAACAATCTCTATACAACTTAATAGGTAATCACTAATTACCACACAATCCCATCAGTTGATAGTAAAAATTAAAGAAAACAAAGTCCAACTATAATACTCAATTTTATTAATTTTTGTTATTGGTTTCTTGGAATTAGGGAGCAATATCAATATTAAGATCATAAACAACTCTGCCACTACCATTAAAAAATTCCAGTACGCAAATTCAATTTTTGTTTGCAATCCGCTGTGATTATATTGAAGATACAAAAGCACACAAAAACTTAAACATCTAAATCTTTAATTACTAGATTACCATTTATAATAAAAAATCAAGTTATGTTTTACAAAATCAAGTTAATATGTAGGTGTCTATGATCAATGTATTGTCATTTTGTTTTAACTTTATTTCAAATCCTTTTGGCATCATGCTAACGATGGATCTGATGGTGCTCAAAAGGTGATTCGTTTTGTTTCTTGTATATATGGTAATAGTGTATCAAATAGAAGAGTTGAATTTTTTTTTCTTTTCAGATTTTAAATCTCTAGTTGGTCAAAAACTAGAGATATAATGAGATTTCATACAAAAAAGTTGAATGTTAATCAAGTTGTTTATAAATTTGATTTTGCAGGTTGTGCCATTTTTGTTGAGCATCTACGGTTGTTTATGTGTTTGTGGTGGTTCCAACATGAAGTGTGTGACAATATTTTAATGAATATTCAGCTTTGAAGATTAGGGAACAATGTAAAAGGATTTTCAATTATGTAAATATATCTATAAAAATATGTGTAACTATTAAAATTAAATTTGTTGCATTAATTAATCAAAGTTTTAGGGATTTTTCATTATTTTTAGCAATAAACCAATATATTTGGACTTTTTTGATGATCACCTTTATATATATATATATATATATATATATATATATATATATATATATATATATATATATATATATATATATATATATATATATATATATATATATATATATATATTATCTAAGTTAATATGTACCATTCTGTGTCTTCTTTCTTACGCTCTTTCTAGGTTCACCGAATGTTTTCATCGTCGTCGTCAAACACAACAACAAAAATCTCACACACAAGCATTATTAACTCCATCGATTTTCTAAAATCGTCCATTCATAACTTTACGATCATCTATCAATCTCCAAATGAAGAAAAGAGAAAATCCTTATTGATTACGTGGATGACCCTGTTACCTAACCATAACTTAAACCATGGTTCCAACATTGGAATGTTCCTATTATATAACCATGACTTGAACCTTATTTTGAATTCATACATTAATAACATTGTCTATAGTGTTGTTAACAACAAAAGACGAATCCCACATGGTTAAACCGCTAATGCATTAGCTCAAGTCTTACTTGACCCTTGTTTCCTTACAAAAGGGGGCTTGAAAACCATGAAGAATGAACCATAGAGCTTAAAAAAATCAACATGGGTAAAAAACTCAACTCAATATTATGTACTGAAAACCATGAAGAATGTTAACTTTAATAGTTAAAAAAAAAAAAAAAAAAAAAAAAAAAAAAAAAAAAAAAGTCAACGAGCTATCCATCATAAAGTATTAAAGTAGGGTGGATTTTTTTTTAAAAATGAACATTTGTTATAAATTTCGCCTTAGATCATTTTTCAATAATATTAGTTTTTTTACCTTTTCTAACTACCAAATATATATTTTATATGCAACACGTTATTATTTTAAACTTATAAAAATTAAGAAGAAAAAGAAGTAAAGAAAATGAAAAACTTAGTTGTAAACTTGTGATGTTGAATCATTTTCAAAATTGTTTTCCAACAACAATAATAACGATTTCTGAATCTTTTTCTAGGTTCTAAAAATAAGGATTTCAAAACTTATGATGTTAAAGTTTTAGATAAGCTACAAAAAAATCTGAAAGAAAACACATAAATTAATTTTTTATTAGAAAACTAAATGAAAGAAGTAAAACAATAACAAATCTTATAATTTACATGAATCAAAAATCAAATTAAGTCAAATTAGAAAATAGAAATCAGAAATCAAATCGATGAGATTGCCTAGAATTTTGAAGGATGTGTGAAATTAGATTATCAGAATCGATGTATTAAGAAAGATTAAAATTATAAATCAAAAAACAGAAATTAAAATAACAAATCAGAAGGTTGCGTAAAAAAACAAGAAAGGATTTATTATGAATCAATTTTTTGTTACCATTGAAAAAATTAGAATTGATTCATAGAGTCTCATGATCACAGTCGTTATTATAGATGTTTAGAGGTGGCTGTCAGACTTGTTTTTCAACAAGGTATTGGGTTATTTTCGAGGGTTTTATGTTGGGGTTGAGGGGAGTCAACTGTCGGTGATCTCGTTTGTAATCATCAACCATTAGTTAACTCGGACGAGATGGGGTAGACAAAACACGGCGACAATGGTGGCTGATTAAGGAACCGACCAACAGTGACGGAGCTTGAACATTTGAGTTTGAGGGGCCGAAAGTAAAATATACATAAAAGTTGAAGAACACGGGGGCATGGTCAAAGTTTTTTTGTTTTGGGTCTAATATATAAAATTTTTAATAGCAATAGACTAGTTAAAAAAAAATAGAAGTGGGGGAGGGGGGGGGGGAGGAGTTCGGCACACCCCCCCCCCCCCTTGAGAAGATCCATCCCTACCGACCGAGAGGGTTTGGATCGAACCTCTTGGTGTTTCTATCGGTGTTGATGTTGGTTGGTTGTAAGGTTGATGGTTGGTTGTCCATCGCTGTTTTTTTCCTAAGATGTATGTTTCTTGTTTTTCGGTATGCGCAAGCAAGCGCGCGCGCGCGCGAGAGAGAGAGAGAGAGAGAGAGAGAGAGAGAGAGAGAGAGAGAGAGAGAGAGAGAGAGAGAGAGAGAGAGAGAGAGAGATCCATTTTCTTTTTAGTTATTTGAAAATAAAATAAGAAAGAAATTAAATTATGGCAATTTAATAATTATGAAGAGGTAAAAAAAACATGTTGAAAATGAGTGTTTTTATAAATTTAAGATATTTAGACCAAATCCATAAAACAATACAAATCACTCCGACCATTTTTTTTTTTCAATTTTGTCTATTTGTTTATAATATTTTTATGTTTTACAAGTTTGGCAACTATGAAACTTTTGTTCACTTTTTTATATGTGATAGATTATATGTTTTCTTAAATTAATATATAATTATTATTCTCTGACAATTTATTCTAAATAATGATACTAATACAATATTATGGGTCATGTCAATGGTTGTAAAAATAATTAAATAAAACCTTAAATATGTATAAAATATCAAATTAGAATATCATTTATTGGAAAAGGATAATCAAAAAAAATATATATATATATATCGTTAAGTCTTCCGACCCAACAGATTGTCTCATCTCTCTCGCCTCTCCCTTCCTTCCTCGTTGACCCGCCGTTTACCGGTAGACTTCCCGCCGTTCGCTCTGAAGTTTCACTCCTCATCGTTATCGGTCGCGCTTCCGTTGGTTCGTCCGCTATTCTCGACGCTTCAGGTCTCTACTGCAGCTCTGTAAGCAGGTAACTGTGAAAGCAAGCTTTTACAATTTAGTTTCACTTTCACACGTCTTTTAGACAAATTTTATCTTATCAACTATAAATCACTTCATAATCTTTTGTTTGTTATTTATTAACAGGTAATTAACAATTCAATTATCTAAGTTGCCTTTTTTTTTTCTCTTCAATTAGGATCGTATAGAGTCGAACATGTGTTTCTTTAATTCCTTTATATTTTCCCATTCACAAACACGATTTTCAACGTTTGAATCTATTTATTCCTGAACAATGAGTTTTAATCTCATAATGAAAAAGCTTGAGTATTCGATTGTAATAATGCTAAATTTCCTGGTGGTGATCTTCTTTTGCAAAACTTTCTGATCTGTTGAAGTACTTAGGGGTGTTATATTCTTTGAATCAAAATTAGGATTTTGCTAGTGTAGAGATCCTATATCAATCGAGTACCTTTTATAGGATGTAAATATGTAATAGTGTTTTGTTTGAGGATTACTTAAGTGAACATTAGATGGATGTTTTTTAGAAAATATTAGGAATGTCAATGGTGGGCTAATCAGATCAAAATAAAGGTTTTGTAGGTTAATTAAATAGATTGGTTCAATATTCTTTTGCACCGAACTTAACCTGGAAAACACAGGTTAAACCAATCTAATCAACTTTATAACCAGTCAAAAAAAATCCCATCTCAATGTTATGGTGATTCTATATCAATACATAGTTGTATATATGTTGGTTACTTCTGAAGCATAATAAATTCACGTGGAGAAGTTTAGAGGTGCATATTTATTGATAATTAAATACATATAAACTTTTGTTTTGTAGAATCTAAGTTATCATTGTTGATCTTTAGATTGTATTATTAGACTTAAGTTGTATAGTTATTAATGGTTTGGATTTTCTGTAGAGACATTATGTATGGGATCCTCAGATTGAGGCAAAAGTGAGGAAAGGGTTGGATTCAAAAGCTTTAGAACACAAGACTTTCTTTTGTGAGACACAAGAGATGAACGGTGAAACCAACATTCATAACTGATGATGTCTGAAGGAAGATTCTGAGAGCTTATTGTGATACACCCACATATAAGGAGAAACAATAGTTACATAGACAAAGTCTTGGTAAAGGTGAAGGATCATCAACCCATAACTCATAATGGTTGTACTTCATGAAATTTACCAAGGATCTCCATCTTCTTCATCAACTCATGGTCATAGATATGACGTATTTTTAAGTTTTAGAGGTGTTGACACTCGTCATAGTTTCACTAATCACCTTTATAACGCCCTCATGCATGCCAATATAACTACCTTCATTGATGATGAAGAGATTGACAGTGGGGAAGAATTGAAACCAGATCTGGAGAGTGCGATCAAAGCATCTAGGGCTTCTGTTATTGTGTTGTCCAAGAACTATGCTGCTTCCACGTGGTGTCTTGATGAGTTGGTGTTGATCCTTGAGCAACGTAAGACATCCGACCATATTGTTATCCCTATCTTTTATCATGTTGAGCCAACACATGTTAGGAACCAACAAAGTAGCTTTGGAGATGCAATGGATAAACATAGGCACATGATGGAGGCAGAAACAAATGTAAATAAAAGAAGTCAATGGGATGAAAAGATGCTCAAATGGAATAAAGCTCTTAGAGATGTTGCTGATTTAAAAGGGAAGGATGTAAATGGAAGGTAACCACTTTCTTACCTATATTTCTATACTGCTTTGGTATTGTCTAATTAATGCATGAAACGTCAATATCATCTTCTCCTTATCCCCATATTCATTTCAATATGTTTCTTCATATTCATTAAATAGGCATATTTTTTATGCGTTTAAATGTTAATAAAGATATGGTTAAAATTGAATCTAGTTTTTGCATTTATGTGATCTCATAAATTAATTCATATAGGTTGGTTAAACCATCCTGCTAAATCTAACACATTTGCTATGCATTTAATATTTTATCATAAATAAATTCATATAGATAAACCATTTTAATTTATATGTTTTTTTTTTACTTTTTATTTTGTAAAAAAAAAACAAATTTTGAAGGGTTGTAATGCATCTACTATTTTTATATCATTCTACCTTCAAGTCATATAATTTGTTATCGTGATATTTTAATGCTCTTAGTTGTAAGCTGTAAACATTCACCAAAATTATATTTAAGTTTGATGGTTTTGTACAAACACAATGAAATTTGGTGGCCGGTTAATGAAATCTTGTATTACCTGGGCTCTACTCTTATTGTTGACAATAACATGATGATAACTTTAACCTAGCTTGCACATTAGATGATAATTTTGACCTAGCTTGCAGATTAGATGATTCTATAGTTATAACTGCAAATCTGAGAATATTTATGATGTGAAAAATTAATTAAATAATAGCTTGATATGATATATTTTTTATTTGGATCTTTGGAAAAATTAGATCTTAAATACAGCATGTTAGTCTTGGATTGTGTTTTGTGAATCTTACTAGCGTAATATTCCAGGCTAGAGGTGGACTTTATCGATGAAGTTATTAAGGACATCTTCCGTAGATTACGCATATCCTCAAGGTTTCCACTACCACAACTTATTGGGGTGGACAGTTCCATTGAATTCATCACTTCATGGCTAAAAGATGCATCCTCAAATAGGACAGATGTGCTCACTATTTTAGGTATGGGTGGGATCGGGAAGACTTCTTTGGCCAAGTATGTCTATGCGTTACATTCTCATGAATTTGACACATGCAGCTTCATTGAAGATATCAGTAGGAGATGTGACGAAAAATCTAAAGGAATACTTCATGTGCAAAAACAACTCTATGATGACATCTCAAAACGAAGTTCACTTCAAGTTCATGATGGTTCTACATACACCTCAATGATAGAGGATGCAGTAGGCCATAAAAAAGTATTTCTAGTTCTTGATGATATTTGTAGTCTTGACCAATTAGATGCCTTACTTGGAAGCAAAGGTTTTCATCCTGGAAGTAAAATCGTAATAACAACAAAGGATGCATGGTTGACAAAGAGTTGTGAACTATTCAAAACGAACGATACACTCAAGCATGCAACATACAAGCTTGAAGGCCTAGTTGAGATTGAATCACAAAAGCTTTTTTGTTTTCATGCATTCATGTGCAACTATCCCAAAGCAGGTTACGAAGAGGTGTTAAAAGAGCTAGTGAAGTATTGCAAAGGACATCCAATGGCTCTTAAAGTTTTGGGTAGGTCTCTACACAATCGAGATGTAACATATTGGGAGGGGTACATAGACAGGCTAAAGAAAGAAAATGATTCCCCTATAAATAATGTCTTGAGAATGAGTTTTGACTCTTTGCCATCAGAAAATGATAAGGAGTTGTTTAAGCATATTGCTTGTTTTTTTGTTGGAATGGATATAGATGTTACTCTAACAATATTAGAGGCATGTGATAAAGAAACAAAAGCTGGGATCACGAATCTCATTGATAGATGCCTTCTTAGTATAGGATGGAAGAATCAGTTGATGATGCATCAGTTGCTTCAAGAGATGGGAAGATTTGTGGTACGTGAAGAATCATTTTACAAGCCATGGGAACGAAGTCGATTATGGGGTCATGAGTCATTTGGAGTGTTGACACAAAATAATGTAAGAGGTTATGAATACTTGTTTAAAGCATTTTTTATTTCTATATATTTTTCTATAACATTTGAAATTTTGAATTTTTTTTGTATCCCATTTCTTCTTAGGGCACAGAAAATGTTCTAGGCCTCACCCTTGACATGAGAATGCTTGAGAAAGAGATGTTACATGGATCACTTGAGTTAAAAACAGATGCACTGAGTAAAATGGATAGGCTAATGCTGCTACAACTCAATTATGTGAAAATAACCGGATCTTACAAGAATTTTCCAGAAGAATTAAGATGGTTGTGTATGCATGGGTTCCCTTTGAAGTCCATACCTTTAGGCTTACGGATGGAGAATCTGGTTGCTCTTGACATGTCATATAGCAGTATTGAATCATTTGGGATTTTTTCTAGTTATCCACAACGACTTAATAATAAGCTAAAGGTAACTTATATCTATTTATTACTCATCTATGTCGTGCAGATAAATTTTACTACTATTCTAACTTATCTTTGTTTTAGCAATTGATTGGATCCTGCTCAAAAGACAAAAGGTTGCTTAAATCGTTGAAAATTCTTAATTTAAGTTTTTGTGAACAACTTCGTAGTCTTGGTGGCTTCGAGCATCTACCTAAACTGGAGAGCTTGATACTTAGAGGATGCTTTGGTTTGCTTGAGGTTTGTGAATCAATTGAGCTGTGTGATGAACTTGTCCTTGTTGACCTAAGCTACTGCAACAAGCTTAGAAAACTTCCAAGAATCATAGGCATGTTAAAGAAGGTTAAAACATTGTTGCTAAACGGATGTAATCTCGGTGAATCTCGAATCAAGATGAGGGACATGGATTCAAGGAAAAAGCTCAAGGGTGATAGCATTTCATTAAACACAAAAATGTCTTCCTCCTCCATTCTCAAGGCCATACCAAGTGATCAGAAGTTCTTTACGATTCATTTACCGATATCTTTAGTAGAGTTGTCACTTGAAAATAATAATTTGTCAACCGAATCCTTTCCCATGGACTTCAGTTGCCTATCCATGTTAGAGGCTTTATATTTAGATAACAATCCTATTGTTTCCATGCCCAACTGTGTGAGAACCCTTCCTCGGATTGGGTTTCTTTCTATGAATAACTGTAACATGTTGACGTCCGTTGAGCATATTCCACAAATCCTAGAAGTTTTGATCCTTGTTACTTATTCTCCCGAGCAGCCTTCACTACGGAAAGTTGTATTTGATCGAGAAATGTCCCCACTTAGGATTTTATCAGGGTACATTCAGTGTGCTCTTTCGTCGTTTGAATTTGAAGGGATAATCAAAATCCAACCAATGACAGCTGTTGAGGGAAGGATATTATGTAGTTTAGGCTGGACTAAGGTACACTTCCTTAACAAACAAATCCGAGTTTGCTCTGATACAATATTTAGAGGATCAGAGGAATCTGAAATTCAGGTTTGCTCTAAGTTAACAATATGCCTTTGTGTAAATATGTATGCATATATTATTATTATGGTAATTAATGAAGGTGGTTGTATTTGGCAGATGTATTATGAATTTGGAATATTCAGCACAATTTATGGAGGCCACGAGATGCCGAATTGGATTACTGATAGAAACCCAGGGTCATCTATATCATTTACCATCCCATCATCTCCTAGCAAGCTCAGAGGATTGAATTTCAGCTATGTGCAGATGGCATTGGATGTTAATGTCAAACATTTGCCAATGATCAAAATTAGTAATATAACAAAGAACCTCACCTGGATATACCAACATTACATTGAAACTGTCAATGTGGGTGAAGAGTGTTTCACATTTTCAAGCCATTGGATGTTTGGGATGGATGAGATGGCCTGTGGTGACAAAATTAATATTACCCTGTGGCACAAACGATTTTTTAATGATAATAAATCAGTTACTAAGGAGTGCGGGGTTAGTATTATGTATGATAATGGAGACAAGGATGAAGAAGAAGAAGATGCACTGGATTATTACAAGTCATGGAATCACATTATTGGTGGAGATTTGACCGGATTTCTGACAACAACAGGAGAATACATACTGCACACCTGTAGTTTTACGCGGAATGGCTTTGAATTAACTGGATATATTCGTCAACTGGTTGATTATGGTTCCAAATATAAAGGTAGATGCTATAAACAAATTGTTTTTGTCATGTTTGTTATTTTTTTATCTAATGTCAGACTTGGGTTTTTTATTTTTTTTATTGATTTTTAAATCTTTTTAACAAGAAATACTTGTCTATTCACATAACAACATCCGCATGTTAAAACAACAATTTGTGCAAGTGAATGTATGTGAATAGTAATTAATGTACTACTTTTTATCTTTTATCATCAGATGAATACATGTGGTTTCGAGCTTTATCTCAAAAGAAGTCTGGCATACTTGGTGACACACGTGAGGTGTACTTTTGACACCCAAATATTTCTATTACAGTTTTTTTCTTATAGCATTTGTAAAAACCATGTAATCTTAATTTCATTTTGCTTCACTTACACTGTACTCTAAGTTCAAAATCTGTAAGGTTGATAATTAATCACCGTTCCTTCTAATTGTGACGATGGTATATGCAAGCAGTCTGCGTAAATGTGGTTGAGTTACATATAAAGATATGCCAGTTTCAATAGATATTCTCATGTCTTCTATGTCAACAATAAACTACAACACTTAAGAAGCTTTTGGTACAAAGAACATACACGTTCCGAAATGTAGCCTAAGTTGTACGTAGATTAATGTAGCACAATAGGACATGCCAAATAATATTATTGCATCACAAATCCAATAATATTGTCAGAAATCTTCCTGTCTAACTAGTATAATACATGTAAAACAAAAATGAAATTTTAGGATTTTTACATCCCTAGAAATAAGCTGTCAGGAATTATATTTTAAAGATAACTAGGAAATATGGCTTTTTGCTCCTTCAAACAACTAGGGTAAAACTATAGAAGAATTTGGGAGAAAGTATGTTTCTCCTTTGCTAATTTGTATATTGAATTTGATAATTGCAATAAACTTTGAGTAAAATTGATTTAAGCTGTTCTGCATGTTATCTTTTACAAATATAATAACATCTTCAGTGTAATTGAAATGATGCCAACTATATAAATATGGCTTTTGAAAATAGATGCTTGGGTAAGATGGGTACCCTAATGTTACTGCAACACAATCATGTGCAACTCAATGAGTTTTCAGATGGTTGTGCATGAATGGCTTCCTTTTAGGCAATATTTGATTTTTTTTTCTGTGCAAACATCTAAGGAAAACCTTTTATAGATTATTACTTCTACTTACATCATTCTAGAAACAGAGAAAACAGGGGAAAACAAAGGAATTCTGGATGTTTTCTGACCAGCCTAAATTAAATAGAAAGATGACATCATAATTCCTAAGTATAGTTACATGTCCTATACATGTGGCAAAATCCAACTGCAATGTTACTATACATACGAATACTGTGTGCTTTTTATATACTCCAGAAAACTCTGCTGACTTTAACTTTGACATGCTCGTTTGGAGTGTGATTTCAGACATATCTATGCAGAATCTAGCTGCCCAGGTGACATGTCTTTTTGCTACTTCAAACTCTTGATGTCTTATAGGAACCCAGACAAATTTAGAAGATCTGTTGGAAAAAAGGGTTTTGCCCATTCTCAAACACGCAATAGATGAAAGAGAATTTAGGGATTGAATATGTAGAAAAGTTTCTTGTATTTCAAAGTTCTAAAAAATGTAGAAAAATTTCTTGTATTTCAAAGTTCTAAAAAATGTAGAGAAGTTTCTTGTATTTCAAAGTTATGAAAAGTTGTAGAATTAGTTCATTAAGTCCTTAACTAAATTTCACAATTGCATAACTTCTCCCACTTTAGGGTTTGAAGCATTAGAGTTTCAACCCATGAATTACAGTTTATTAAGCTTTTATTTAGCTTCTATACAGTTTGTATAAGGTTATAAGCAAGCTATTCCATAAGAAATTCGGGCTCTTGACCTTATCCACAAAATCACCATTGGAGCTCGTAAGTTCAATAAAAAAGAAGAACAATAACTTTTGATGAATTTGAAAATAAACTCTTGCAATCCCTTGTTACAATAGCACCATCTTCTTCCCCAAAATCGCCAAAGAGAGTTTCTAATTCGAGGTTTGTGAAAAATGGAGTTTCGAAGATTTTTTTTAAGATTAAAACTTAATCTGATGTCGTCGTGATCGTCCTATTGTCGCATTGTGACCCAATATGCGTCGTGATTTCTTTGGTATGCATCGGGCTTTATTTACCCATTTAAAAATCATACTTTCAGCATTTGCTTCGCTATTCACATTAACATCACGTCGCGACCAAAGTATGTTACCCCTACTTACGTCAAATTTATCACCAAATAACTGTCGAAAAAGGCGCGTCGTACACTTATTGGCCGTGTTGCGATGCATTCACAGTTTTGACATTCTTTTATGTACCTATCTTTTCTTATTTTTGTAGCTGTCAAATGCAACATCTAACATTCACTCCTATCAATTTTAAATAAGATAAATTACCTCTAGTGAGATATACATAGGAGTTATTTACCAAAATGCATCATGAGTTCATATTTTTCACACATTTAGACCAAAATACCCCTTTCGTAAAAAATTACATATACATATTTCATTTCATATCCACAAACTTACTACTTATCATATTTTGCCCTATAAATACATACATTTCATTCTATTGATTATCTGAAAAATTTACGCATTGTTAACAGTCGGCTTTGAAAGACATGGAATTAGGGTTGTTCCATATTTTGATAAAATGAATTGTCCAATTGGACAATTTCGATCAGACTATATGGTTTGGATATTCGGACTTTTGGATTGCATTTTAGCAAAACTGAATTATTATTTTCGATTTTAGATTGATTTTGGTTTATAAAATAAAAACCGTTCCAGAAAAAATCGAATAACAATTTATTATATTTATTAATTTTAATATATATCTTAATAATTTATAAATTTATTAAATTATGTTTTAATAGATTTGAAAGTTTCATCTATATAATACATTAATATGTACTTATCAAAAAAAAAATCCCTTAAAATATTAAGCTATGATATAATTTTTTGGTAGTTGTTTACAGATCACAACTAAGTAAACTATTTTTTCTAGTTTCCTATATTAAGTGGGTTAATACTCACGTTATATATTTATTAGAATGTATTGCCTCCAGAAAATTGATTTGTAAAAACCGATCCAACTGAATTGTAATTTGATTTGAATTAAATTTAGTTTGGATAATTTGGATTTATGTTTTGAAAACCTAAATCAATTTGGATTCATTTGATGGATTGGATTGAACCAATCAGTGGCGGAGGCAAAATGTTTTAGTAGGAGTGACACTACAAAAAAATTTCTTAAAAAATCTAAATTAGTAGTGGTCATCGTATTTTAAGCCGATGCACGTAATACAAAAAACATAAAAATAAAAAAATAAAGAATAAAAAAATAAAATAATAATAATAAAAAAAAACATTATTTTGTTTTTACACTATGTGTCGGAATCGGAGCAGTAGCCCAGGACCCCCGGACACCACTAAGGTCCGCCACTGAACCAATCTATCTACATGGACACCCTACATGGAAGAGACAAAAAAAAACCTCAATAGGCTAAAGCTTCTAGGCTTAGGGAGTTTTTTAATAGTTTATAGAAGTGGTACCCCCAAGTCTAAAAAAAAACATAAACAAAAACAAGAGCAAAAGGAAGGGCATTTTCATCAATTTACATATCCCTAACAGAGCTTCTTAGACAGTACACTCAGGGACCTCCATTGCAAGATTTGGAAATAATATGGACTAACCATGTCAAAATGTCAAAAATTCAAAAGTTAGATTAAAAGTGCAGATTCAGGAAAACGATGGGGACCAAAACTGTAATTTACTCTAATATCATCTATTTGGAAAAGGATAATTTCTCATAAAAAATATCGTAAAGCCTTCCAACCAGACATTCTATCTCATATCTCTCGCTTCTCCCTTCCTTCCTCGTTGACAAGCCTTCTCTGTCGTTTTCACCGGTTGTCCTCATCTGTCACATTGCTGCTGAGAATATAACTCGTCACACCAAATAAGGTGGAGAGACAATAGATTTATACAAAAGGAATTTACAAGATACATAATCTCGTTTGAAGACAAAGAGTGAGGGGTCAGCACGACTGCACACAAAACCATTGCTCGTTACAAAGGCACTAAGGCGATGAAACTAAGCACGAGGAGTCTACTTTAGACCGTAAAGAGCTTTGTTTAGGCGACACATGTGATTAGGATAGTAACGATCAGAAAACCACGGAGGTTGCTCCATGAAAGCAAGATCGCTTAAAGTACCATTAAGGAATGCATTATTTACATCAAGTTGATGAAGAGGCTAATCATTAATCACCGCTAATGACGAAACAATACGAACTGTAGATGCCTTGACAACCGGACTAAAGGTATGAGAATAATCAACACCCGATAGTTTACTATAACCTTCGGCAACAAGACGTGCTTTATGGCGATCAACCGTGCCATCAGCGAAATATTTGGTTGGAAAAATCCATTTGCAACCGACCACATTACGATCATCAGGCCTAGGCACCAAGGTCCAAGTTTTATTAAGATGAAGGACAGACATTTCAGCATTCATGGCATCTACCTAATGTGATTCTGAGGCGGCAGACTCAAAGGTGGTGGGATCACTAGCAGCAAATAATGTCGAATGAAGAGCAGTGTATGACAGATCAGCTCGATACTTTGGTTTAAAAACCCCATATTTAGGCCGTGTAACCATAGGATGCGTTGAAGCAATTGGAGGAACAACAGGAGCAGATGGTTGTGTGGTTGTGTGTGGCAGGCTAAAGGCAAGGGTAGGTGAGGTGGAGGTGTCAGTCTCAATGGATTCAATCGACGATTGGGTCGAGGGGGCTGGTGAGTGTGTCGAGGGGGTTGGAGGTGTTTGAGTTGCCTCAGGTAATGGAGATGACGAAACATGATCAGTTGGGGTTGAAGATGATTGGTTTAAGTCATCAAGACAACCCATATGTTGTGGGTTTTCATCACACAAGCCACAATTATTGAAGTTGGTGGGTGAAGGGGAAGAGGTAATGGGAGATGAAGGTTGTGAACATAGGGTATCATCGTGAAAAGTGACCAAAAGAAGGTTATTAAGTGAATTGGGAGAGGAAGAGCCACAAAAGGGAAATGAGAATTCATCGAACTTGGCATGTCGGGTAACATAAATACGAGATGAAGCAGGCTCGAGACATAGATAGCCTTTATATTGTACGGAATACCCAAGAAAGATGCAAGGAAGGCTTCACGGAGAAAATCTATGATCCGCATAGTTACGTAAGTACAGATATACTCGACACCCAAACGGTCAAAAATGATCATAAGATGGAGCTCGAGTAAACAATGCTTCAAAAGGTGACTTATTTTGCAACACCCGAGTAGGGAGACGATTAACAATGTAGACTGCAGTACGAAATGTATGAACCCAATAAGAAGAAGGAGTGTGCCCATTGAATAACATAGCAAGTCCGGTTTTAACGATGTGACGGTGCTTTCGTTCCACCCTCCTGTTTTTTTGTGGAGTGTACGGGCAAGAAATGCGATGAAATGTGCCATTTTTTTCAAGCAAATTGCGAACATGATGATTTATGAATTCCGTGCCCCCATCACTTTGAAAAACCTTGATTTTTGAAGAAAATTATGTTTGAACAAAATTGATAAAAGCCCTAAAAACCATATGAAATGTTGATTTGGTTTTGAGAGGATAGAACCACATAAATCTTGAATAATCATCCACAAAGAGAGCATAATAGTGATAACCATCAACAGAATCCACGGGTGAGGGTCCCCATAGAGCACAGTGAACTAAATCTAACACATGTAAAGCGTGTTTATCGTTAAGTTTAAAAGGTAAGCGATGTGCTTTAGCAAGTTGACAAGGAGAACATACAACGGGTGACGGTAATAAAGATGTCACCGATAAGTGTCCCAATTTATTTAGTAGAGAACAAGTATCAAAAGAGATATGACCCAAACGGGAATGCCAAAGTTCAAATGATGCCCTCAGTCTTGAACGTGCAACAGCTGTAAGTGCTTGAGATTCATGAGAGAGAACATATAGTCCTTGTTCGGCCCTTTGCTAGAACCCGCTTCGTTGTTCGATTCTGAATAAAAAAATTGGGTTGGGGAAACAAAACATCCACATTGTTATTAGTTGTCAACTTGCTAATAGACAATAAATTCTTGGTAATATTTGGGACTACCAACACATCCCGTAGCCGAACATTATTATGAAGGACAGATTGACCAACATGGGAGATGCGAAGAGTATTACCATCTCCAAAAATAACATTTGCATGACCATCATAGGAAGCAGGTTGTGTAACAGAATTTGTGGAAGCCGTCATATGATTTGTAGCTCCGGAATCGACAAACCAGTCTGGAGCATTTGTAGTAACATTACACTGAGCATGGAAAGCTTTTGCTAATTCCGTATATGTACCGAGTTTATGAGTGGCATAGGAAGAAAGATG